CTTTTAGATCGATCCGAGGACTTGCTCTACAAGACCATCAAAAAACAAAGCGATAAGAGAGAGAAATGGAGTATAGGAAATATTAGCAGGTGAGTCAGGGAAAGGAAGCCTGGCAATCTTCATTAATTTTACTTAAGGATCAGCGAAGTTTCTGCAGGCACATGATACAGATTAGGTAACTGAGTTTGATTTCAAGAAAGCTTTTGTATTTAGCTGGCATTATAAGTATCAGACTTCCATCCTTCGCTACCGCATCATGTTTTGATTCTGCCACTAAGACATCAAAAATATATTTATCGGAAAGTTTTGAAAATAATAATGGCAGGGTCTCTTCATAAGAGAATAATTCTTGTTTTATGTTCATTCTCTCAAATATCTCTAAACCAGTGGAGTTGGATACAGGAATATATCAATCCACTTAATGTTAAAAATAGGTTTGCTAACTAACCTCGTTACAAGTCTTGATTTGAAGACTTCACTTTATTATAATTCTCGATATATTTGCAGATTATTTAGATGCTTAACACTTTTACCACTATTTGATGATACTGGTAATTGTCACCACTACTCCGCTCATACACAAAATAATGAATTATATCGGTAGTCTTGTTCATTGAAACGTTGAGGTTCAATCACCCTTCTATACACATTCACTTTTAATAATCATCTCTGATTTCACTAAGCAGCTCTCTAAGAAAAGCAGCTTTTCCAGCAAAATACAAATTTTATTTCTTTATAATGATCTTAGTACAAAAATAAGTATTATTTAATTTTGGCCCCTAACCTTGCCTAATAAATGTTGTATATAACTCACAATTTATCTTTGTCGTTTTAATTCTAGCACCTTTTGATTGCCAACGATAAACTTCGGTACCTTGAAATAACTCGATTAGATAAAAATGTAGGAGTTCCTTAAATAATAAAAATCGTATGGAATTTGTTTATTTACAAAAAGATTTTCATTAAATTATAGGAAAATTTAGGTTACTAGCTTTATGGAACATAAAAAAATCTAATTATCTAAGAATCCAAAGAATTAAAACTTTTAAATTGAGGTGTGTGGATATTTATATGTTTGTGTTGAGGTATCGTTTACCTTGTGCTCATTTCTACTAAACATTTTTAATTTCATGTAAAAAGTACGTTTCATTTCAGAAGGTAACAAACTTTGTAATTATCTTGCTGAAATGTTATTTCTTTTTAAATAATTGCAATTTTAACGTTCCAAATTGTTTAATAATTGTCTTCATTTCGATTTGGTCGTTTTGTTTACGTTGTCACTAGCTCCCGCCAGTGCTAGAGGAGTCGTCGTCGGTTCATTGAAGAAAATGACGTGTTACGTCAGCCAGCTGATTGCCGGCGCGAGTAGACGAGAGAGACCGTCGAATCGATATCATCGGCGTGGTGGGCGCGTTTCTGTTGAAGTTGGATATCGGGTTGTGTGTGCGGGTACAGTTCAAAGAACGAACGGTTTTGACATGCGAAGTTTATTGATTGTGCCAGAAACACAGATTCTCCTGTGCCCTATTTGGGGACGATAGATAGATGAATAGAGAGAGAGGTTGAAACCCTCATTTGTATGTGATTTAGTCGCGCGCAGAGTAAGCTATTTGAAAAGGAATTTGCGCGCTCGATATGGTCGCTGGATTTTACAATTTCGTCATCATCAATTAGTTTTGTTATTGTTTTCATCACGTTTTGGGTTTTCTATAAAAGGAAGAAGATGAAACGCATTAACAGTGCAGTCATGCAAGGAACGGAAATTATTTTTTGTGCCAGGATGTGACAGGATAATTAAATATCCATTTTGTTGATTTTAACATCCGGAAAAAATACGAGAATGTTCTTGAATACAACGAATAATGCTAGATTTGAAACGTTGTTTGTTAAAAACTCTTGTTAAAAGGGCAGGTGTTAGAAACTATCTACCCTTTTCAAAGAAAGGATTCAAAGATTTCTAAAGATTATCTACCTGGATATAGGAAAAGATATAAAAAGGAAAAGAAAATCTAACACAAATTTGTTCTTCCAGGTAGTTTATGGTCATGTACACCAAAAGAACACCTTTCACTATACTCTATTTTTTAATTCGGAGGAGTAAAATGAAAAGTCACGTTTACACAGTGTAATTTTTCAAAGCTATTGCTTATTTATTTAAACATAATAAAAACCTACTTACTTTGTCATTACACTAAAACCTCGATGTAACGGATTAATACCGGGAAGGCAGTGTCTGATATAGCTCAATAAAAATATGCAACAATCTAGCGCTGAATAATAAATAAAAGACTCATACTAGCACTATAACTAACACTAGACTGGAAACATCTACAAAAAAAATCACATTGCGTGCTGTTGCTGAAGCTTTTGGAGTTTAATACTCTACATTATTTCGTTATGTGCGAAAGAAAAAAGCGTACCTGTGAAGAAATTTGTATGGAATCTAATTACACTGTTAGCAGATTATTTGATGTGGACGAAGAACAATCCTTATCTGATTACATAACAACTTGTAGCAAGATGGCATTCGGAATGCTCTTGGAGTTAGAAAATTGGCGTTTGAACGTAATTCGAAATAACAAAAAGATTCCAAAATTTTGGAAAAATAATAAGCTAACTGGACTTGATTGGTTTCGAGCTTTTCTAAAAAGACAGAAAACTCTGATTATTCGTAAGCCAGAGGCGTGTAGTAAAAAAAAAAAAATAAAAATAACGTCAATATTTTTTTCGAGAATATAAAAAGTTTAGAAAAGTAACTTCCAAAACTTGGCGACTCTTCTCGAATATACAACCTAGATGAAACTAGTACTACTACAATCCATGCACCTACAAACATAATTGCGGAGAAAGGCGTAAAACAAGTAAATGCCAGTACTAGCGGCGAAGCTAGTCACCACCTGTGCCATCATACGTGCTTTAGGAACTTATCTACCGCCTGTTATGATTTTTCCTCGCAAATATTTTAAGCAACATATGATTAATGGAGCTCCCACAAACTTTGGGTTTGGCAAATCCAAGTGGATGGATGAACATTGAATTATTTTCGCAAGTTATAGATCATTTCATTCATCGTTCTCAGAGTAGCACGATAGGCCTACCTTACTGATTTTTGACAACCATGAAAGTCACATTTCTATCAACGTTGTAGAGAATTATCTAGCCTTATTTTGCCGCCACATTGCAGCAATAAACTGAAGCCTTTAAATGTAGCAGTGTTTGGGCCATTTAAATCGTATTATAATGCTGCATGTCAATCATGGCTTATGAAAAATCCTGGAAAATCGCTAACAACTTATTGCTGAGTGCGTTGATGAGGCATATATGTAAGAATTAACTCCTACGAATATAATATCAGGGTTTAAAAAAACTGGTATTTACGCTTTCTATGCATCAGTGTTTTCAGAAGCAGATTTTTTGAGTTCGGCTGTTAATGACTGAGAATTTAATAACCAAGACCTTACTAATGCACTGATAAACGTTGGTTGTCAAGACATTACATTAGCGCTATAAATTAAACAATTTTAAGATCTGAAAATATTAGTATTGGGTTTAATTGTGCCTCTGAAGACCGTCTGAACCCAACCCAACCCAAATCTTTTTAGTTCTCGGTCTAGTGTTAGTTTTAGTTTTACACTAGCACTATCACTAGAACTAACACAAAATCTAGAACTAGAACCATTCGGGTTTAGCCGTCTTGAAAGACGTGCGGCTAAACCCGAATGTTTCTAGTTCTCGGTCTAGTGTTACTTTTTGTTTTACAGTAGCACTATCACTAGAACTAACACAAGACCTAGAACTAGAATCATTCGGGTTTAGCCGTCTTGAGAGACGTGCGGCTAAATCCGAATGTTTCTAGTTCTAGGTCTTGTGTTAGTTCTAGTGACAGTGGTAGGTAGCGCTAGTTAGCATAAGATATTACTATGTTGTATATTTTTATTGAACTAAAACTGGAACTAACACTAGCACTAACACAAGATCTAGAATTGAAAAGAATTGGAAAATGAAAGATTTTATCTTTTTATTAAGATATTTTGCTGACATTTTTTAAGTAAACTTGTGGTTGGTGGAATATCATTGAGAGAGAGTGAGAAATATCTTTTTAAAGCGCAAGGTCGTCTCAATTACCCGAGACTGTAACTATAGTGTGACTATTGTCATACTACATAAAACGTAAACATCGGGGACGGAGAATGCGCTGAACGCGCGAGTGTTGCGCGGTTTATTTTTATCCTATCGGGGCACTATATCGAATGAACGAACGAACGCGAACATTCTGCGTCTCACGCTAGTGTGGAAGTAGTAAATGGTACGTTTGACCCGGTTGTTGTATGTTGTCGTTCAGTTTGCGGAGCAAAATTAATACACTGCTTGAAATAGAAAAAAAAAACTTGTTTGCATTAATTGTTCAATTAATAACTTATGATGACATAAAATTAATGAGATAAAACCTTTCGTTCGGTGTAGTACTTTCAAAATCTTCTTTCATTAGGACTTAATAAATAGAGAAAGCAAAAACGTTTCTTGGTTAGAGTTAGAAATGTGAGAAGACAATTCTTTCCTTCTTTCATTCTTTCTCTTGGTCGCCGGCGATTGGTATTAGTGTAATAAATCGGACGACAATCAAATTTGCGGAAATAGGCGGGGTTGATGATGTTGAGTTCGTTTTCCATCCCAATTCCGTTCTCAAAACACGTTCACCATTGTTCCGTTTAAAAAAGGAACATCTTTAGATCCTCAGTTTAATTTTCAAACTACCATCAACTAGACACAAAAGACACCAAATTTTTTTAACCGTGAGTTTTCCCACCGTAATAATTAGTTTATTGATTGAACCCCTTAAATTTTCTCTTCGTTTATTATTAAAACCCTCTTCGACATTTCTTGCTTAACGAAAGTTTTTCGGTCACGCAAACGACTCTCGCTTTCTTCAGTAATTTTTAATAATGAAAATAAATTTTTAATCGAGGAATTTTATTGACTGAATCTTATTTCTGTTATAGTCACGTTGATAAGGACGGCGAACCTCCAACGGCCACAATGGAACAGGAAAAAAGAATGCGAAGGGAAATCGCCAACAGTAACGAAAGGCGAAGAATGCAGAGTATCAACAATGGTTTTCAATCGTTGAGGTCGCTATTACCACATCATGAGGGTGAAAAACTTAGCAAAGTAAGTAACATTTAAATTTTATCATTTTTTTGAGAACTGTGAGAAATGTTAAAAGTAATAATTAACTGTGCCAAAGTTACTATTAATCTCAAAATTACACAATCTACACTATACAACAAATTGTTGGGGTTGTATTTAAGAAATACAAACTTTTCTATTACAAATAATAAAATTTAGAAAAGTTTTTGCAGTTAAATGTGTAGAAAGAAAAAGTTTATTGTCTCCGAATTTTTAAGAAATATAATAAATAAAATGATACTCAGTAACCCTGCAATAGAATACCATAAAAAAATTCTGACTCATATGTAAAAAAATTACTGCACTTCTCATTTATTAGAAATTAATTATTTAATCATTTATTAGAGATTAATTATTTAATCATTTATTAGAGATTAAAGTATTTGTTACAACATTTGATTGCACATTTGTGGTGAGTCATAAACAATTTTATGAACACTTCATAGGTATTAGGTGAGTAGCTTTAATTTACTAATTTATTCCAAAATGTTTCCTTCATGTTTTTGTGCTCATTGCGCAAAATTTTCTTCAATGAATAATGACACCATTCAATAGCAATTATTTTGTTATACCTAAATTCTTATCTTATGAGAGTAGACTAGGATATATGGGCTTTAAACTAAATTTCGACTCAGAAGGAATTCAACATACCGCATCCAACCATGGTTCTGTCAGGAAGTGAAAGATCTTGCCGAGCAAAAACGGAAAAGTTATTTAAAATATAAAAGTGTGCGAACACTGCGTGAAAGAATAAAAGTTATAAAAGAAAATTTGAGATAAAATTTACGTGTGATATGACCTACGACCTGTATAGAGCGTTCTAACCAAGACTGTGTCAATAGAAACTTGGCAAAAGTATTTTAAAGACCTCTAATCAGCTAAAGAACTAGCACATATCATAGAATGTCACCAATACGATCTTGAAATTGAACCCAAACTTAGAAAATTAAAGAACAGAAAGTTTTGCGGAACTGATAACATAAGCAGCGTGTTGTTAAAGTACGGAGAGCATAAGTTGGTACAGAAATTGACAGAAATAACAGAATTCTTTAAGATTTAAAAGTACCAAAGGAATGGCATTAAACGGCGTTACCATTACAATATTTAAGAAAAGAAAAAAACCTGCCTAAAGACTTACAATGGGATCTCACTCTTAAACATTTTCATGAAATTGAAGAACAACAAGATTTCAGAAAAGGTCGATCTAACTGACGCAGTATTCATAATCAAACAAATAAAAGAAAAGTTCATTCAGTTTGACAAACCTGCACTCATCTGCTTTGTAGATCTTACCAAAGCTCTTGACTGGGTGCGTCTGGCGGACATCATAAATATTTCAAAACAAAATAACGTGCCTGCTATCATAATAAAGATAATACCTGAGTTGACCAAACAACGGATAATATTGCCACTCCGGAGGAAAGACAGTCTTAGTTTGTTTCTGTTTAATCTCTGGATGATGCAGCAACAAGCGCAGGTACAGAAGACAACCTACAACGACAACTGCATCACTTCTTTTAAGGAATATGTAAACTCAACTTTCTGTTGATAAGACAAAATCCATTGCTACTGCAAAAGATCCGGTCAGATGCAAAATTAAAGCAAAAATTTAGTGAAAGGCTTAAGGAACCAAATTACCAAAGCATTAGAGCAGTTTACAAATCTTTGTTATTTCCAATCATTGGACTGATCGTGTTTTATCAAAAACATAAAGAACACACTGCCAATTGTTGGCAATAAAAATTTGAAAAAAATTTGTTTACGTGCTCTAACCGTTATATGATTATATCACATGATAAAATTCATGAAAAGGTTCTAAAAGCCAAAGGCCAGATCTCATTTTCAAAAATCAAATATAAATGAAACAAAAAGCTAAATAATGAAAAAGTTGAATGTGATTTAACCGATTTTTGACATTATATACACAATACAGAAGATCATTTTCAATCAATTTACTTTGGTAGTATACGTTTATGATATTCCACGACAACGGAATTTTGGAACACCTGTTGAATCGCATTGTCGCTATTGCAACTCTATAAAAACGTATGACCATAAGATTTTCGCTCATAAATTAATTAAAATTACCCGACGTGATGGTGCGAAGACTATATAGAATATCTTTAAAGAACACTTTGTTGTTTGGGAGGACGCTGAAATTACCCTGGGCAGCTTCCAAACTTCAACGAAATCTGGGAGTCATTTGCGGATAACTTTTGAGGGCATAACTAACTATGGGTATGAGTTACCCTCATTAGAGGACATAAAGTGCAGTGCCTAGATGTTTGTATATTAGTCATGTAACGAAGTTAGAATTTGACACAAGGGCGACTGCAAGAACTTTGCTTAAAAAGCTGAAGCTATACTTCAGTCAGCGGCGTGCTAAATTTTATGCATAACCAAAGGATCATCAGGAACTATCAAAAGAATTAACACTAGGCATAAAAGTAGAAACTTTCGGGTTAAAGCGTCGGTCTTTTGGAAACGTTTCGGACAAATTTAGTCAGAAAAGGCTTCGTCGAGTTAACAAGCATTTTCCATGTGCGGCTAACTTCCCGATCAATCTCTATCACCTCTCTTGTCATCTTTTGGAAATAATTTCCGGCTCTGCTAGCATCTTAGTGTTATCGAAATCTTTGTTATGGCCCTTTTTGTAGCAATGTTCTACAACATTCGATGTTACGTCCAATTTAGCCAACGTAATACTTCCCAAAATTGTATGATAGCCTCTCTTTAATGGGATTAGTTTGTCTTTAGCTATCGGAAGGGTGTTCCGAATTTTGCTAACCGTATCGTATCGTACCACGATATTGTTTTTCTTCAGACACCCTGCAATCCGCTCCGTTACACCTGTAACATAAGATAAAACTGGCTAGTGCAGTATTTACCTTGTCTTCCATCTGCTTGCGCTGTTTGGTGCCACGCTGGAATCCCTCAAAGTATAGCCATTCTTCTGGAGTACAAAAAATTCTTTTCGCCGCATATCTTTCTGCTTGCTGGAATAAGGCGTGGATCACTGAACTCTTCTGTTGTAGATGGTGGTGGGACGAAACCTGTAAATAGCTGTTCGTGTGTGTCTTCTTGCGATACACTCCAGTTCCATGCCCCTCATTTGTCTTCCTAATGACCAAAACATCCAGGAAAGATAACTTAACAGTTACCAGTTAGTCTAATTTTGTTTCAAAATATAATTTTTATTAATAAATTTTAGTAAATTTGCCGTTATGCTGGAATCAGTGGAAGTCAATAAGGTTAAATCACTATTTAGATTTGCTCGGTTATGAATTATGTGAGATATTTAGCACAAAATCTTTGCAACAACAATTTTGAAAATCGGATTTTATTGCATTGTGAGCTCAATTCTAGCCTTAACTTTTCCTGCCGGATTTACTTCAGATTCGTTGAATTTTAATATTTAAATCCAATCAATGTCATATTGATGCCCTTACTACATAAATATCTATTAAAATAAAATGAAATATTTGAAACAAAATTATCTTGACCTTTTATTGTAGTTGTACATTACTGCCTTCAACATCAAAATCAACAATTCGAATGCACTGATCCATCCCACCATAAACAATTTTTCCATTATTGCTACTATCCAACGTTTGTATTAATTTATTAACTTTAAACATATAAAGGATTCGTTCGTCGTTAAGATTGATAATATCCAAATAAGATTGTCCACTTCCTCCGGCGACAACGCACTCGTCTAACGCTTCACATTTGAGAAATTGACAACAGAACAGAAATTCGCCGTCGAGCGTTTGGACCCTGTTCGTCGGAACAATGTTTGAAACTAATTTTCCGCTTCCGAAATCCCAAAGTTGCAATGCATTTTCCGCCGTCCATTGTCCAGTAAGAACGAGACTGTCGGTAACGTCGATGGCATCTCCGCAAATATGAGGTCCTTCAATGTTTCGAACGCAACCGTTAGCATTACGAGTATCCCAAATTTTTACGCAATCATCCCAACCGCCCGATAAGAATATGTTTTGTCGTTTTGGATGAAATTTGATTGAAAATATTCTTCTCGTATGAAAGTTGATGGCGTCCAAGTCAGTCAGGCGATTCGATTTTTGTAATTTTGATATTAATTTTCCAACTCGAGTGTCGTATAACCTAATTGTACCATCTTTGCCTCCTGATGCTAACAATTCCGTGCGATCGTCAATGTCCATGGCGTTAATTTCGTTTGACTTTTCTCGAGCAAGAATCTTGAAAGAATTTTCTTTGAAATGACACGCATAAATGTTGCCGCAAATTCCAGCGGCGAAAAAAACGTTAGGCGCGTAATTTGAACAACGTATCGCAACGATCGGATAAGAATTACTCGTTGGCGGTTTTACAATGTACAATGGTATTTCTGATTCGGTATCGATTACCTGAATCGATCCAGTTCCATAACTTGCGATAATTTTACTAGCATCCGAATTAAACCTAACCGCGTAAAGACCAATATTTTCCGCTGGAAATTGTATTTCTTTCACCACTTTTCCCTTTTTCGCCTTATCAACCAACATACTTGTGTTCAAAGTATATCGACCAAATTTTTCGTCGTTTTCTTGTAAAGAAACTGACGTCGACCAATGTCTTTTTTGGCTAGACGTCATTGGCCGAGCCGACGAATTCCGACTAACAGACATTTGAAAAAAAATCTAAACGGTGTCAAGTGAATTTCAATTAATTTTGTTGATTAATTCCGATATTGGTGTCTGGACAATTACGGTAAGATGAATCATCGAGATACGGCACACACCATACTGCTGGTTGCTGTTGTCGGGCTCAGCTGATCACAGGTTTAAAAATATCCCATTTCCGAGAGCGCGGTACGCGACTCCTCCTCTTTGCAGCTGTGTCTAGACGGTTATTTTTGGATTCATACTGATATTTGACCGTGTTAATACTCTACTCATGGGTTTAATTTGTTTATAATATATTTATATAGTAACAAAAATTTTTTGTTTCATTAAAATTTGCACAAGAAAGAAGCAACTTAAATAGTATTTTAAATCCTGCCTTATTTTATATTCATAACTCATGTTCTATCTCTTACAAAAAACTTTTACAATACCCTTAGAAAGATTCTTCATTTTAACGATTCAAATCAAAAATTAAACGAATTACTTGAAACTACTGACAGTTCGACGTCAACTAAAACGTCAAATTTACAAATAACCCCAAAAATAAATTTATGTATAACGATAAAAAGAATGCCAAGTTGACAGGATGATTTTGAGGAAGAGCAACTTGGAATGTAAGGGTTTCGCCGTTTATGGATCGTGGCCATTATCTATGGGGCCCTTTCACTTTCCCTTCATCCTGAAATTACGGGCTAATGGACGAGATTTGCGTCGTCATCGTGGCCTCGTTAGTTTAAGGGGATCTTTTATGCTTCGGGCATATTTTACGTTTTCAGCAACCGTGGATTTTCACGGAAGGAGGAAAATCGACCAGATTAAAAAAAAAAGAACCGAGGAGAGATTATTCTTTGAAAACTTCTTATCTATTTCTCGAAAAGTTCTTATCTCGAAATTCTTTCGTTATCGTTGATAGAACGCGGCTCCATCCGGCTCGGGAAGTGGTCGAATTTATTATCAAAAATTAGATATGTTTTAAGAGTCATATAATTATTCAAAACTTGATTTTTTTATTTACTATTTAATTGAAATATGTAGTCTTAATAGGGCCTTTTCAGATGCTAAAATTGTTTAATTTTTGCAATAATTAATATTAAAATTCAAAATACTCTCTATAAAAACTTTGGTGACGTTTACGAGGTTTTCGCGTAAGATCAAGAACGTACATCGTTCGGATCTCTTCTTCTGGCGCATAAAATTCTTGTGGCATCTCACTCTAGTTCTAGAGATAGTGCTTTTCAGACTCTGAAAGTCTCAGGACGCACGGCTAAACCCGAAACTTTCAAATTCTAGGTCTAGTGTTAGTTTTAGTTCAATAAAAATATACAACATAGTAATATCTTATGCTACCTACCACTGCCACTAGAACTAACACTAGACCGAGAACTAGAAACAGTTTCTAGTTCTAGGTCTTGTGCTAGTTCTAGTGATAGTGCTAGTATAAAACTAGAACTAACGCTAGACCTAGAACTAGAAAGTATTGGGTTTAGCCTCACGTCTCTCAAGACGGCTAAACCCGAATGATTCTAGTTCTAGATCTTGTGTTAGTTCTAGTGATAGTAATAGTTGAGTTGGGTTCAGACGGTCTTCAGACGCACGGCTAAACCCAGTATTAACATTTTCAGATCTGAAAATTGTTTAATTTTTGCATGAATTAATATTAAAATTCAAAATCCCATCTATAAAAGCTTTGGTGACGTTTACAAGCTTTTCGCGTAAAATCAAGAAGACACAAACGTGCATCGTTCGGATCTCTTCTTCTAGCGCATAAGATTCTCGTAGCGTCTCACTCTAGTTCTAGTTTTAGTTCAATAAAAATATACAACAAGTAATATCTTATGCTAACAAGCGCTACCTACCACTACCACTAGAACTAACACTAGACCGAGAACTAGAAACAAGGATTTAGCCGCATGTCTCTCAAGACGGCTAAACCCGAATGATTCTAGTTCTAGGTCTTGTGTTAGTTCTAGTGATAGTGCTAGTGTACAACTAGAACTAACACTAGACCTAGAACTAGAAACATTTGGGTTGAGTTGGGTTCAGACGCACGGCTAAACCCAATATTAACATTTTCAGATCTGAAAATTGTTTAATTTTTGCATGAATTAATATTAAAATTCAAAATCCCGTCTATAAAAGCTTTGGTGACGTTTACAAGGTTTTCGCGTAAGATCAAGAAGACACAAACGTGCATCGTTCGGATCTTTTCTTCTAGCGCATAAGATTCTCGTGGCATCTCATTCTAGTTCTAGTTTTAGTTCAATAAAAATATACAATATAGTAATATCTTATACTAACAAGCTCTACCCACCACTGCGACTAGAACTAACACTGGACCGAGAACTAGAAACATTCGGATTTAGCCGCACGTCTTTTAAGACGGCTAAACCCGAATGATTCTAGTTCTAGGTCTTGTGTTAGTTCTAGTGATAGTGCTAGCGTAAAACTAGAACTAACACTAGACTTAGAACTAGAAACACTTGGGTTGGGTTGGGTTCAGACAGTCTTCAAACGCGCGGCTGAACCCAATGCTAACATTTTCAGATTCTAAAATTGTTTAATTTTTGCAATAATTAATATTAAAATTCATAATCTTCTCTATAAAAGCTTTGGTGACGTTTACGAGGTTTTCGCGTAAAATCAAGAAGACACAAACGTGCATCGTTCGGATCTCTTCTTCTAGCGTGCGAAATGATGGTGACGTCACCAAAGTTTTTTAAAATTTTTATTATTTTGTTTTTTGGAAAAACTAAAGCCCAGTTTAAAAATAAAAAAAAAATAGAAGTCTTCAATTTTGTTAAACTGTCTTGATCAAGACCACACACGTTAAGAAATAAAATACGGATAAAAAAATTTAAACAATACGTGTAATTCTCACAATAACCATCTGACTTCGTTTACAAAGAATGTATGGAGGCCTCGAATCTTTTCGAATTCTCGACGCTAAAGAAGAAGGAAGAAAAGAAGTGGAAGTAGTAGACGCAGAGTCGTCCCCACTCCTCCAGTAGTTTTCACCTCTTCCTCCTCTTGACTTCTTCGGCTTAGTGCTTGTGGGATTTAAAATACGGTTTAAAACCCGATGTGGTATTTAAATTTTCTTCTGCTCCGAGAAACTATGCAGCGTACTTTTAAAACCAGATGGCCGGAAATACATGGATACAAGCACTACGCCAAGAAATGAACGGGACGTTTAAAACGTTTTATGATGATTCACTAAATATAATATTGAAGAATCTTTTTGAATGTTTTGACTTTCCGTACGTGTAGTAGAGATGGTCGGATTCTATTTATAGAGTGAGTGAGGCGCGCTGGGGCTCTCGAGGTTGGTGTTGTTTTGCGATTGATGATGACGAAGCAATATTTAAAAAAAATTTGAAGGGAAACGTTTCCGATTAAGAAAAAAGAAATTTTTTTAAGCGATTTTTTATGTGATGTGTTTTGGTTGGAGGTCGATGGGTTATCTTGCAGTAATGAATGAAGTGCTTTTTAATACTCAATATTTCGAAACAATAACTGGAGAAACGGGAAACGTCGTAGTCGTCCTTGCTGTTGCCGTGGGTCGTTTCCCGTGGGATTCCGAGCCGTCTAGACGTTGGCCGTGCGGAAATTGACTTGTTTTGAGGTCATGTTAAGACTCTCCTCTCATACAAGACAAGACGTGCATTTTTTTTGTTTCTCACTCCATTTTAATCACTAATAATTATCTTTAGCTTTGTATCTGGACATTATAGAATGTGAAATGAATTTGTATTGTTCAAAAAATTGTAGATTTACAAAATTAGTTAATGCTTTAAAACAGTTTTGGGTCAATGTCGCTGATTTTTGGCGAATGCAAAAACCTCGTGATCGCTCCGCCTTTAAAACTAACCCAGACACGAAGAGCGTAAAAATACCCTGACCCAGTTTTGGGCGATCGTCTCGCCGCAGACCGGCTGGTTATAGACTATGCTGCTGGAGTGGAGGAGTGAAAAGGCCTTCTCTTCTTCGTGGTACGTGATCAATTGCCACTGTTACTTCTCTATGGAAAACGAGCACCTACACAATTCGCAGATTAAAAAAGCCGATCGAAAAGAGGTCACATATTAAAACCATCCCAGATTTTATTTTTATTCTTTGATATCTTAAACAGTTTCTTAATTCCATCACACCGGAAGAGGTGCCAACTAATTTTAATGTTGCGTAGGTCGTGGTATGACGACGTTTCTACCACGTTTCAAAATCAGATGTGTATTTATACTCCTTTAATTTAACTTGACGTTTGTTATCGCAACCTTTCATTCGTGATCAATACAAAAAAAGCGTACGACCAACTAAAGTCATATGTCGCCGCCTTTAACAGCACCATGTGAGTGACCCAAATGCCGAAGCACTGAAGAAACAACGTGTAATGGTAGCGGTTCTTGAGGCACGCTCCTTTCGCTGGTCATTGATCCATTGTGTTTTCTGGAGTGCGCGTGCACTTAAAAAAAACTCAACACCACCTTTTTCTCCCGATTTTCTTTTTTGTTTAAATCGAATAAAATGTTTAACGAGAAAAGAAAACCGCAACCGAAGTAAACGAGACTTTATGGCGTGTTGAAAATTGTGTCAGCACTTTAAAACCCCGCGAGACCATAACCACACCTACAAGAATGTGTGCGCATTTTGAACATTCTATTCCCACGAGAGTTAGTCTTAATACGAATTCGAAAAATAAAGTTGGGAATCATTGGAAAGGTATTTTAAGTGGTTTTCTTCAGGTGTGTTGCATAATTTCAGTTGAAGGCCCTTGGACGATTATCTAAGCAACGCCGAGAGTTGAAACGGTCACGTGTTTTTACGAGGAGAGGAGAACATACTACACCGATAGTATAGGCTGATGAACTCTCTCGAATCCCCGGGACCTTGAAAATAAACTCCTAGAATAACTAGCCGGGGGCCTCAGACCGTGAAGGTCTCGCCTGGCTGCTGCTCTAAACAAGAGTCTCTCACTCACGGAGGTTGTCTAATTGGGGGGCCCCAGCAGCGCGTAGCCCACTCACCTGAACCGTCGTCGTCGTCGTGGTTGTCGGCTTTTTGTTTAGTCTGAAGAACAGGTGTTTTTAATGGCGCCACAGAAATCATTTCATTTTTATTAAATAAGACATTCTTTTATTTCAGATTTAAATTTACACAAAAATCGGTTTTTCGTCAAATATTTTTTTTGGAGTCGCTAAGGTGCTTCTCACTGGGTATTTAAATTTCTAATTTATTCGGAACAGGTAGAGTCGTACGCGCACGTGTGTGCTGCCGCTGTTGTGAAAACGTTGAACCGACCCGACTACGACGACGACGTAAGGAAACCCGAAACCTCGATGAGAAGCGCAACAAAGCGGTTGCTTGTTCCATTCAAGGTTCGTACTGGAGGAGAACGAGGCTTTAAAACCCAAGAATAAAAATAAAAAACGATATTCGAAGAGTAGTAGATAGTGATCGTTATGTTGTTGGCCTTGAAAGAGGACGCTTTTTTTATATTTTGGCAACAAAAGAAGCTAACAAAAAAGCAACAAAACCAACAACAAAAAAAAGGAAAACCCGTTTTTTGCCAACACTGAACTAATAAGGAATAGATGTTCTCATAATGTGCTATAACCTATTTTTTAATTCTGAGGAGTGTTTTCAAATTGAAGCGCCAAAAAGATGGGTGGCTATTGGTCAGTTTTAAGCAAAAATTACACTAGGAAAATTCGAGATGTTGCCGACCGTCTAGAAATATTCGGGTTTAGCCGCATGTCTCTCAGTATGGTTATAAACCCGAATGATTCTAGTTCTAGGTCTTGTGTTAATTCTACTTTTAGTTCAATAAAAATATACAACATAGTAATATCTTATGCTAACTTGCGCTACCTACAGTGCCACTAGAACTCACACTAGACTGAGAACTAGAAACATTCGGATAGCCGCATGTCCTTCAAGACGGCTAAACCCGAATGATTCTAGTTTTAGGTCTTGTGTTAGTTCTAGTGTAAAACGAACACTAGCCCGAGAACTAGAAACATTCGGGTTTAGCCGCACGTCTT